TTCATCCTCTATATATAGGATCCCTTGGACATTCATTAGGCATCTCATACCATATTTGCATTGAGTATTGCATAAAAACTCTTGCAAATTACTTTCAAATTCATTCAAAATCTTTTTCTTCTTTGTAGAGAGAAACTCCGTCGAAAGTTCATCACAACTTGTAGTTTGAAGTACTTCTATCACAAGTTGAATTGTTGTATCTTGGGAGACAAGTGCCGTGAATCTTAGCACCGTTACGAGGCAATTTTGTCTTGAGAAAATAGTAAAAATCACTTGTCTCGGATTGTTCTTCTTCTTCCTCCTCCTCCCTTCTTGATTTTTGGTTTTCGTTTGTAGTTTACATACTACATTTTCAATCCATATTTATAGTGTTTAATCACTCTCCTGTGGATTGAACTTTGTTTTTATTTGTTTGATATACAACACAACCATTTCACTCGCGCTGATATTGAGCCCTTGTCGCCAACAATCTTAAGACAAAATTTTCGTGTATTTGGTTGTTGTTAATCTTTTCTCTTCATCTTTTGAAATACACGTTCGTGTGATATTCCCTTCTTTTGATTTATTTACGTTGAACTTCTATTTGTGTAACAGAAATGGCCACTCGAGTCAAAATGGTTTAAACAATGTGGTTCCGCCATTGGCTATACCACTTCAAAATACTACAATCGCACATGGGGAAAAATAGGAAAAGTTTGGAGGTGTAGACTTAAAGAAATGGCAACAAAAGATGTTGCTCTATCTTATCGCTCTAAACTTGGCAAAGTTTCTAAAGGAAACTGCACTGACAGTACAACAAGGAGATAATAATGGTGAATCGATTATTGTTTTGGATGAATGGAAGCACTATGACTTTCTATGCAAAAACTATATCCTTGGACAATACACTATATGGAGTATATAGTTCAAAGAACTTGGCCAATGAACTGTGGGGTTCTTAGGAGAAGAAATACAAGACAGAAAATGTCGGAACTAAGAAGTTCATAGTAGGCAAATTTTTGAATTACAAGATGGTGGATTCCAAAACAGTGATTAGTCAAGTGCAAGAACTTCAAATTCTGTTACATGACATCCATGCCAAGAAGATGGAATTGAGCGAATATTTCCAAGTTGATGTCATCATCTAAAAGCTCCATCCTATGTGGAGAAACTTCAAAAACTACCTCAAATATAAACGCAAGGAAATGAACTTTGAAGAATTGATTGTCCACTTGAGGATCAAAGAAGACAATAGGAAATCTGATAGAAGACCTATTGTCCAACTTGGAGCAAACTTTGTTGAAACCAACTCGAAGTGAAAGTTCTCCGGTGAGGCACCACGAAGAGACAACTCTAAGAAGGTCAAAAAGTTCAAAGGGAACGGCTACAACTGTGGAAAGGCCGAACATCGCTCAAGCGAATGTCGAAAACCAAAGAAAAAAATACGGTGCTAACATGGTTGAAAGAGACACTCTTTCTGAAGGGATGCAAGAGATGAATTTATCTTCAGTAGTTTCAGAGTGTAACAAGGGAATGGTGGGTTGATAATAGTGATACCCGTCATGTGTGTGTGCAGATAAGACAATGTTCTCAAATTATCAAAAATTTGATAGAGAACAACTTTTCATGGGAAACTTTGCAAAATCCAAAGATGAAGGACAAGGGAAGGTCACTTTGAATATGACATCCGGCAAAGATCTCATCATCAACAAAGTCCTACATGTGCGAGACATACTGAAGAATCTAGTGTCCGCGTCTCTACTTAGTAAAAATGGTTTTAAACTTATATTTGTATTCGATAAATTTGTATTCACTAAGAATGAAATGTATGTAGGAAAGGGATACATGTGTGATGGAATATTCAAAATGAACGTTCTTACTGTTGTACCAAGGCAAAGCATTATGAATAAAACCTTAAATTATGTTTATATGCTTGAGTTGTCTTATTTGTGGCATAGTCAATTAGGACATGCGAATTATATATCTTTGCGCAAACTTATGAATCTAAGTTTAATTCCGACGCTTAAAATCGATCCTAATCATAAATGCGAAGTGTATGTTGAAGCAAAATTGGCTAAAACACCGTTCCACTCAATTCAAATAAACACTATACCTTTAGAGCAAATACATAGTGACATTTGAGATTTAAAATGTGTTCAAACTAAAGGTGGTAACAAATACTTTGTTACTTTCATTGATGTTGTACAAAGTATTGTTATGTCTTTCTCTCTAGCAAATCACTTCCAAATTCATTCAAAACGTTTTTCTTCCCATTAACAGTAAGCATCGTTGCGGGGCATTTTGTCTTAAGGAAAGAGTGAAAATCACTTGCTTCGAATTGTTGTTCTTCTTTTTCTTCCCTTCTTGGTTTTTGGTTTTCGTTCGTAGTTTACATACTATATTTTTAACCATATTTATAGTGTTTAATCAGACTCCTGCGGATTAAACTTTGCTTTTTGTTTGATCGATATCAACAACCCTTTCACCCCGCACTTATATTTAGCCTGTGTCGCCAACAGTTTGTACATCTAATGGCGTGGTTGATGTCGTAGATGCAATGGGACAAACTAGTTGAAATATTTTTGGAAATGTCTTTCTTTCCTCTCAATAAAATGTACCGAATATGTTTCTTAACGTTTGATGTTAGCCAATTGATCTTCAAAACGATTTTCACTTGATTTTTCCCTCAAAAGATATATAATTGAACATATTTATATCATGGGAGATGTGAGGGGGTGTAAACTCGGGTATACACCTCGGAGTGTACAAGTATCAATTATCTTATATCATATATTCTGGAAGGGATGTTGCTATCCGTATATCAAATATTGCATAAAAATATTTTGCAAAATTTAAAAATATACTCAATTTTTCTTTTTTTTACGGAAACCATTTTATTTGGGGGAAGTATGTTTTTGTTTTCCTCAAAATAAGGAGATTTTTTATTTTTTAGGATATATTTTCCATACCAATCAAACATTTTCTTTGTGACATTATTTAACATTACAAATCAAGCTTTATATGCTGCTGCATAAATTTGCCATTTTGTAATTTTTTATTTTTTTTATGATTTTTCTTTGTCAACAAAGAATTTGTCTATTATAACATTGTGTACAAAATATGTTTGTAAAAAGCGAGCTCGATGGGCAAGCTTGTGGGCTCGTCCACAATCGTTTTGCCCCCAGCAGTTTATGGAAGCCGTAAAAAGAAGCATGTTGACTCGATTGTGTTTTAATTTTTAAAAAACCCATCTTTTTTTTTAAAAAAACTCGAATATTTAAATCCATTGTCATCCTTAAAACTACTTTTATACTTTTCTATTCATTCCTTCGTTCTCCGTGTCCATGCCCATCAATCTAACGCCACAATGTGGAAAATGGAGTAATGTCACCTAGCTTTGAAGGCGAAATTTGCTGACTTGATTTAAGAAAGAAAACAAATATAAAAAGTAAAAATTACTTTTAAAAAATTTTGCTCATGAGCCACATTCTTTTGGATATAATGCATTTTAGAATAATGTTTTCGTGGAGAATGTGTGGTTAAAAAATGAGAAAAAGTTTTGAATTTGCGTGTAATATTATTTTATTAAAAAAATGTGTAGTTGAAAATAAAATAGATAAAAATTTATTTTAAAAATAATGGAGATCAAATAAGGGCATCGTACACAAATTTCAATGTTTCTTTTCGGCTAAACAAAATGCAATTTTTATTTTTATTTTTTGAAGTCAAGTCCAAATTACTTTTATCTATCATTTCGATCTAAATATGAGAGAAATGTAAGTTCCTAAAAATAAATATTAATTATTATTCTTGTACATAAAAAATGAAATGCACACTTTAATGTAAGTATTATAATTATAACTAAGTACATAAATTAATAGCAAATACGATACATGAATTAACGTAAATATTAATTTAGAATTAATGTCAAGAAATATATACATGATAATGAATATTAAATTATTTATACTAAATAAATATAATTTAATTTCTAATTAAGTGAAATTGGATGCTAATTAGTATATATGGACATGAATAATGTACATTGCATTAATTCGTGAATGTGAAATTCTAATTAATATCAATTACATGAATGTAAATGTTAATTAATTGAAATTTATAATAGGGAAATACATGCATGAATAAGAATTTTGTAATATTTATTAAAGTTTATATATGTATGAACAAGGTTTGTAATATTTATTATACTTTGTAAATTAAATAAATATTGAAAAACGAAAAGTAAAGTATTATTGAAATAATTGAATTGTAATATGGTTATAATCGTTAATTTTTTTTTTTTTCAGTTGATGTGATATATATATAGATTTTCAAAAGATACAAGAGTTTTTTGCAATATGTAGGAGGTTTTGTGCTTTTTAGTCTAGGGTGCTTTTGATTGCAAGTATGAAATTTGGATGGAAAAAAAATAAAATTACCTATAACTTAGATGAGAGAGAGAATTGTCTGAAATATAAAATCATGAAAAATGCCACTCAAACGTGGCCAAGGACCGAGTCAAAACGTCCCCCACCATGTTTAAAGAGCACGGTTGTAAAATTATATCCCTTAAAGAAAATATTTTATTTGTTTTCGAAAAAAATATGATCATCTGACCAAAATTAAAAAAATATTTTTATGAAAAAATAACAATCAAATAACATAAAAGTAAATAAAGTAAAAATTTAGATGAAAAAAAATATTTTTCATAGAAAAATATTGAAAATCAAACCACATTTTTAACTCTTTCTATAAAAGAATAATCTCCAACTTTTTATCCGTTATCCTGGCTCAGCCCAGATTTTTCTCGGGATTCCGCACTATTCCATGAGCCTGCCACGCTCCCTCTTCTGTCATTCAATCCATGCCCTCCACGTGTTCCACCATCCAACGGACAATAACACTCCCACTCCCACTCTAATATTCGTCCATATCTATTTACTGCTTCTCATTTCTCTCTCAAAAATTCACACAAATTTCTCTCTATACGTATATATTTCTCTTCTTTCGCTCTATATATAATGCTTCTGAAAGTTGCACCAGCTTTTGGGTTGTTGAATTCCCATGTCGAAAATCTTGGCCCTTTGATTTCCGATATTCATTCGCACAATAGTTTCGTGGGGAAAAGTGGAAATGGGTATGTGATGTGCGCATCGAAACCCACAAACAGAAAGCCTTTAACCGGTGTTATTTTTGATCCCTTTGAAGAGGTAAAGAAGGAGCTCATGCTTGTGCCCTCTGTTCCCCAAGCTTCGCTTGCTCGCCAAAAATACGCCGATGAGTGTGAGACCGTTATCAATGAACAAATCAAGTGGGTTTCATTCGATTTACTTTTGTATTGAATTGAATTGGATTTTTTTATTTTTTTTGTGGTCTGTTATTTGTCTCGTCTGAATTTGAATTGTATGCTATTTTTTCTAGTCTAATGATGTTTTGGGGAATTGTTGTGTTGATTACAGTGTGGAGTATAATGTTTCGTATGTCTATCATGCCTTGTTTGCCTACTTTGATAGAGATAACGTTGCTCTCAAGGGTCTTGCCAAGTAATTCTCGAAAATTTCTTAGAATTGGAAACTCTACCATTTGATATTTATTAAATTTTGTGCAAAATGTAAATCTGTGAGTTTACGATTTGTTTTGTCAAAGGTTTTTCAAGGAGTCCAGTCAAGAGGAAAGAGAGCATGCTGAGAAATTTATGGAATATCAGGTGATTGATTATTTGCATAGATGACCTCCTTGGATTTGTTTTTCAACCATATTCAAATAATAACTTTCGCTCATATGTTTGGTGAAATTCAGAACAAGCGAGGTGGGAAAGTTAAGCTTCTGTCTATTTTGATGCCAGTTTCGGAGTTTGATCATGTCGAAAAGGGTGATGCATTATATGGTAAGTTCTTCTTTTCTTAAGAGCATGTTTGCCTAATCTTAAAAGCCAAAAATGGTTTCTTTTCGGCTTGGTTGGATTATTTAGAGAGTGATACTGCTGAAATTAGCTGGCTTGTTCTACAAAAGTGTTAGAAAATAAAGGGATACAAATTTGCTTTGATACCACTTGTTAGACTCAAGAAATGACAGTAATATGGCAATAGAAGATAAATTTTAATACTTGTTCTTTTAAAACATGTATACACTTACCATGTGTTATACTTGACCAATGTTACTCTTATTTGATGAAATATTTTTAATTTTTTTTTTTTTTTTGTGCTTTTTAATACCAAAAATTAATATTTCAACACTTATTGTGAACATAAAATATAAGCAACAATGCTATAGGTACATAAATATTTTCACAGAAATTATACAGATGGACACTTGGTAGATTATCACTGAAAGATAATAAAAACACATACAAAATAAAAATAAAAATAAAAATGAAGCCATATAGCAGCACCTGTACAATTTCTGTCCCTTTTTCTGTTCTTGCAGAATAATTCAAATAAAAAACCCTGAATGCTGAAATAGATCAGCTCTATAATATTACTATGTCTATTTTAATGTAAAACATGATAAATGTTATATTTTCCTTGAATGTATAACAATAAAAAATAATAGGAATGTCTATACTTAAACAAAATAACTTCTCCATCAATTGTCAAGTCGTTGCTAAAATACACACTTTATCATTATTTTAACCTTTGTTTCATCTTTACTAAAAACTAAATGAGCCTATTCCCCACCCCCCGCCCTCTATTTTCTTTGATCTTCTCTATTTTGGATTTGTTTTACAGCTATGGAACTTGCATTGTCTTTGGAGAAGCTGACAAACGAGAAGCTTCTAAACTTGCACGCTGTAAGCCATGCTCTATACTTTTTTACTTGTCTATGTTAAAGCTAATAATAGTATAAAGTTTGACTGAAAATGATATACAAATTCTGACTTTTACTCGGCTGCCATTTTAGTCATTAGTTTTAAGTGTAAAGAAGAGTTATATTTACATTGAGAAGCTTCAATTTTTCATAAACAGGTAGCCTCCCGAAAGAATGATGCGCAGTTGGCTGATTTTATTGACAGCGAGTTCTTGGCTGAGCAGGTTCTTGATTATGGTCTATCCATATTCTGTCATATGATCTATTTATAGAAGAATTCATCACTAAGCATAGCAAAAAAATGTTTTCTTTATAGGTGGAATCCATTAAGAAGATATCAGAATATGTTGCCCAGCTGAGAAGAGTAGGCAAAGGACATGGTATGAATACCATGCATGTATTGCCAATGCCTTTTCGTGGATTCTTGCTCCGGTTTTTTATAACCATCTTTTTCTTCTTGGAATGTCAGGAGTATGGCACTTCGATCAGATGCTTCTCCAGGAAGAGCAAGCTGCCTGACTGAAGCTTAGTCTTTGCCCTCTTGGAGTGTTTTCTTGCGAAATTAGTATTGTAGATTTTGATAGAGATGTGTTAGCTTGTGTTGGCAGCAGATGAATATTAGTTCTAGTATCTTGTGTCAACTTTAGTTGTAAGATTACAAGTTTTCAGTAGATTCTGCTCTACAACTCATAACATGGAACTCCTCAAATAAATTCAGTACCAGTTAGCTACCGGAGTCATTTATCAAAGTTGGTAATATTTAAAGATCCTGAACTCCAATCATCATTTTCTATTTTGTGGAAAGACATGTTGGACAAAATAAAGGTGAATCAAAGTAATAGATGAAACCGAAGGCCCGTATTCACACGGTTTCCTTAAATCGAATTCGCCGCCTCACCGGGGTGCACGAGGTTTTTGATCGGTGTTCGATTCCCAGGATACAATCGGTTATCGGTCCACGTTGCACTACGTTACCGACCTACGAAC